TTTAACTATAATTACATGTAATATGAAACATAATCATTAAATAAATATAAGTGAATGGCTTATTGCGGGTGATCGTAGATGTGGTGATCCTTTTTCATCATCGAGTGATGCGAAAGGGGTCGTTCCCATGGCTTCTGTAAGTGTAATGTCAATGAAAGCATTGGTTTTATCATTCAAATACATGTTCTGAATGCTAATCAAACGGATAGTCATTATAAAAAGCTTAAGAAATTATATACGATAGCAGAAAAAATACACATTATTTAAAATAGCTTTCATATTAAATACAATTCTTTGTATCATTTCTAGACTGAATGTTAATTTAATAATTAAAGTAAAACAAAAAAGACTTACTTGAGAGCCATCTCCCTGTCCCATAGGCATCGTTGCATAGGGTGTCGGGTATGCATTGCCGTCCTCTGACAACATCATACCGAATCGCGACCAGAATAGCTTCAGGTATATTGCCCCTCGGCATCGGCATATCGGCCGTTTGACGAACACTTCCCACCGCGACAGGTAGTGTTGACTTATGTGTAAAGTTAGTTTAAGTATTCAGAATTGCAATCACAGGACTAATCACACAGAGTATAGAGTCTATACTATAGACTACTCACAGCCTTCAGCCGCCGCCCGACTCCTGATTCTTCGGACGCAAACAAACGCAAAGATTATTACAATTATGATGATAACAGCCGCCGATAGCAATGGTATTGTGAACGACGGCTGCAGATAATAGGGACCGTCGTTGAAGAATTGGTTGAGTATTTCGTTTTGAATCACTTTGAAGTCTGGCGTTCATGTCAAGCAAAATATAATAGATTTGAAATGTTTGGTTTAAAAACTCATTTCTAAAAGTTTGTTACCATTACGCAAATTCTTAACTTTATATAACGCTAATAATTTTAGTTTTTGATTTATTGTATACTGATCATAAATATTTATTTAAATTTTTATTTGTTTTGACAACCTGTGTATGGAGGGAGGCATGCCCACTGGTGATATAATGAGCCTAGCGACTTGGGCATAGACAATTCTCGGCACTATATCTACAACATGACTACGCCAAACTCCAGATTCTGTAGACTATAAGTATAGGTGGAGAACGTGGAGGCGTCGGTCATGGGCGTGGGTGTAGTCAACTGAGTCAACGGTATTTCCTTCCACTTGGGTTCGCCCTCTTTCTTGTAGTGAAGGGTATAACTGGTGGTCGGGGTCTGGGATTCTCGCAGATCTTTCTGATGCCAGCGCACGGATATTGAACTACCCGTCGATTCAATGGCGTTGAGCTGTTGAGCCGGCGGTAAATCGCCATCATATGTATGGGCAAGCATTTCGTGAGACTGGGGTCCACTGCCCGCTGAATTGTAGGCCTTCACGACAATCGCGTATTCCGTTCCCTTCGACAGGTCTCTCACGAAGTACTCATAGATTTCCGTTTCGGCGTTCTTTGAGTTTTGAACGCTTTTCGATTCGACGAGTTTCAGGATAAACGGGTGGTTAGAGAGGGCCCGGAATGCTATCGGTTACATCTTCGGAAACTATCGCGGCAAGGTCACGAGCCGGCCGCCGCGGGAGGTGCACTGGGCATACCAGCAGCCGGGAAACGAGAGTTGCCTGTGCAGCAACCCTGGAGCGGAGGGCTCCTCCTCGCCGGTAACGAAGGTGACGGTGTCTGCGGCCTCACCCCTCCCGACCTCGTTCTCGCCGACGACAGTCATCTCGTAGGACAGGCCAGGGCTGAGGTCTTTGATGAGTGCCGTGGTCTGTGTACTACTGGCAGTAAACTCATGGAGTCTATGCGGTGCGCTCTGATGTCGCCAATACTGGATCGTGTACTTAGTTAGCGGCGAATTGCCTGAATAGGGGGCCGACCACACGATGCGAGCCGTCCGGGACCAGACCTCTTTCACGTGGACATTGGTCGGTGGGCCGGGAACCTCTGTCAGGGGACAGGTATTTTGGTATTGGTTTCTACCTATTAATAGACTATAGGATACATACCGAGCACAACCAGTTTGATAGTGCGCTCGTCCTTCCCGTGTGTGTTCTCGGCCTCACATTTATATATCGAGCCGTCAGTCCTTTGAGTGGTTCTCAGTAGGAGTTCCGATGAAACTCCGAAATCAGTGGTTGTCTCAAAGATTTCGTAACTTTATTGATACAAATATTTTGTTTTTTAATTAAATATGAAATATCAGTATAAGGAAAATAAAGACTCACTTATTTGTACCCAATTTGTCGAGTTTGATGTTATCTTTAGTCCATTTGATAGGGTCCCCAACTAGAGGCCTTTGTAATGTGAACTCAGCTCGCGAGAGAGGGGAGAAGTGAACTTAATTTGATATGAAAAGCAGTTTGAAACGGCCTTGACCTCCAGTCTGTGTCATACAATAGTTTGGATTCATCAATTCATATTCAGTATTAAAATATAGGGAATTGTTTTGAGCATAAAATGTGAGCCAATTATGAATAAGTATTATATTTTACCCGCAATTCTGATTGAAATCACTTTTTTCAATACAATCTTATTATTGACATCAAAGACAAGACATTCATAAGAACCAGAATCTGATGACTGAATGTTTGCAAACTTTACAACATTTCCATTCATTTCCTTATTTTTATTATTTCCTGAGATTTTCCTCCAAATAATCCGTGGTTTCGGTGATCCGTCGGCCGAGCACTCTATGACCACATTATCTCCAACTCTTGCACTCGTATTCTTGGGCTCATTCATCCATTTCAAGGGCACAAACACTTCCAATCGGATTGAATAGGAATCGCTTCCGAAGGCATTCCTTACAAAACATGAATAATTGCCAACACTTTCACTCTTTATGTCATTTATAATGAGCGAAGAAATAGCTTCCGATTCATCAGATTTTATGGTAATTCCGTTCCGAGAGTGAGATAATTGGTGACCATCTTTGGTCCACTTGAAAGATATTGGACGAGAACCTGACACTACTGTACAGAATGAACTGAACCTGGTTCCAGTGGTAAGTGGCTTATCAGGTTGATTTAGTGGTTGAATCTTTGGGGGTTCTGAACCAGTCATCATAATTAGCATATTGTTTGTTGATTTGATGCTAATATAAACACTTACCTGAGCTCTGAATGGGCTGTAATCCAGTTATTATGGCAATAAGAAACACAATTTGTGTTGATTTAGACATTTTAAGCACTTATTTAAAAATTTCTCGTATTATTTAGTGTATATTCAAAACTCAAATAATGGCTAAAATACGAGTGAAAGCAAGCATTGGCTGCAAAGGCGACACATTTTGCTCAACAATTCAATGATAAGATTTAAGACATAACTCACCGCTAAATAAGACATTAATTGATTTCTTCAGTGAGTCTCCGATACCATTGTCGGCAATGCACTCATAGGTCTCACTACTGCCAGTCTTGAAGTTTGACAAATTTAGGACTTCCCCTTCTGTCACCTTTCCTGTAATTAATCAAAATCATTAGTTTAGCCAAAAACTGGTGACCAAAATATAGCTATGGAAATCTTGATTAGGTAAACTGCCATCCAAATCCGTTAGGTAGCCGTTATGTGAGCTGGTGGTGTAGTAGCGGACGAAAGTGGGCTTATAGGACGCCAAGGAAGTCGGTTCAGCCCCCTTGACGAGGTCAATAGGAGATAATGTTTTCATTAGTATTTGTGTGAATCCATCGGCAATACACTCGACCACCACATCATCGCCTGCTTTCACCCGAATATCCTGCGGTTCCTTCAGCCAAGTCGGGGGAACTGGAGGTCAATAGGAGATAATGTTTTCATTAGTATTTGTGTGACTCTTGTGTTGAATACCTTTGACGTTAAGGACAACCGTTTGAGAGTCAGTGCCGTAAGTATTGCTAACAAAACACGAATAGTTCGCGGAATCGCTTCTAAAGACAGAAGCTATCGATAGGATCGACAACTCGTCGGACGTCTCGACCTTATAATTGGGGTTTGATTTCACATCTAATTTATGGCCGTTTTTAGACCACTTAAACACCAGAGGTGTCGTTCCCTTTTCAATAGAGCAAAGTATACGGAATTTTGTGCCTTGAGATTGAGTTATAATACTTTTTCCAGATATCAATTTAGGAGCTATTGTTAAATAATTATATTTAGTAAATCATAGTTTGGAAACTAAATATATTATACCCTCTCCAGTAATGATTGAATCAATAGTTGTTAAGACTAAACACAAACTTAAGAATTTCATTTTTGTTTAAAAATAGCCTAAACTAATGGCTGACTTTATGCTAAATGATTACTTCACTCCAAGAACTAATAGATTGGACACACATTGCGCCACATTTTGCTCGAGATTTAATACATTTAAACAAAACATTTAGCAAATATTTCGTTAAAATGTGATTCATAATTTGTTTGCAATACTTGTGACACATTACAGTAAATTTAGATAAATATTACGTAAAAATATAGAATATATTTATAAACTATTTATAAATAATAATTAATTTGTTAAACATATAATCCAATCAAACCTTTAATGTACAGAATAGTGGTCTGTATATCAGAACCGAAAGCATTGCTCGCAATACACGAATAGTTCCCGAAATCATTTGCATTGATATTCGTTAGCATTAATGAAGAATCAAATGAATTATCAATTTTATAATTAGATTCCGGATTATTCTCTAATTGTAATCCGTTTTTAATCCATTTATAAAACACAGGTTTAGTGCCAGATATGGATTGACACGCAAACCTAAATGAAGTACCCTTTGATAATTCAATCTTTGGTGGAAATGGATATATTTTAGGCGCATCTGATGATAACATAATTATATTTTGAATCAATTAGTGGCAAACAATTGTGACATTTCTTATAATTACATACCATTGCAAGCAATTAGCTTTAAATTGAGTGATATTAACACAGAAATTACAACTTGAATGAAATCCATGTTACTTTTTGGTAACATTTTGTTTATCACTCAAAGATGTGATACAAAAACTCGCAAAATATAAGACAAACCCATAAACTGAAGACTATTTTAGCGCCACATTTTGTATGAGATTTAATGTGATAGTCATTGGCGGATAAATTTATAAAATTATTTCCTATTTCAAAGCCATTCTCCAGTAATCTTAAGTACAAAGTTATGGATTAACGCAGAGATCACCATAACTTAAGTGATATTAACGGACAGGTGTAACACAAATTAGTCGCAAAATCAGGTTTTTAAATAGAAAACACATTTATATCTATTAATAAAACTATTGATATAATGATAAACATCTGTAAAGTATACCATAAGTACAGTAAAAGTATTGAGTGATTAGGGATTAACCTAAAGACTTAGATATTGGAAAGTGTCTCAAAATAAAATAAAATTTATGATTTATTTATGTTATAAATAATTTTTTGTTGAATATTTGATTTCATAAATCAAATAAATTATGCGATAATTATTATGTAAATGAAATCCAATATAAATATTTATTTTAAAAATCCTTATTTTAAAACACTTTTCCCACGGGTTTACGCAATAATTTTATGTCAAAAATTTAGATTAAAATATATCTTCAGTTTTAAAAATCAATATTAAATATGATATCATTGAATACCTTCGATGGTGAGGACAACAAACTGGGAATCAGTTCCGAAGGCATTCCTCACAAGACATGAGTAATTGCCCGCATCTGAGGATACTATCGACTCTATAGTGAGTGTTGAATATCTGTCGAAATTATCAATTTGATGGTTCACTTGAGGGTCCGATTGTCTCAATTGGTGGCCATCTCTGAACCACTCGAAGAAGAATGGATTCAAACCCTTCTGAACGGAACAAAACAGTTGGAAATACGAGCCCTCAGTCTGATTCTTATGGGAAGACTGTTTGGATAATTTGGGAACTAATTCAGAGAAACCTCTTAATTATTTATTTTTAGACAATTAGTACTAAGAAATACCTGACAATTCATTTGTGTGTAAATATTTGACACAATATATGAACACAAGAAATATATGGAAACTGTTGGCAGACATCATGAATAGTAAATGAGAGATATTTGAGAGACAACTGATGGCTGATATGATGAGCACTCAATAGTAGGCTATTATGTGACAAAATACGAGTCATTGCGCCACACATTGAATGGCAAACAATTTGAGATCATTTTACAAGAATATACTACAAAAATATTCTTGAATACAAGTACTATAAATACAATTGAACCTGTTTGTATTTATATAACTTAATATGAATCAAATGAATAGATTTTTAATTAAACCTTTACTTATTTTTAGTTATTACCTATAATCTAAAAATATATTATAATTAAAATATCATACCTTTAATAGTAAGCAAAACATTTTGCGAGTCAGAGCCGAAAGCATTTCTCACAAAACAGCTATAATTTCCCGAATCCTGTCTCACGATCTTTGAGATCATAAATGTTGAAAACCTATCAAAGTTTTCAATCTTATAGTTGACATCAGGACTGGGTTTAAGTGTCTGTCCATTTCGAGACCACTCGAAAAACACGGGTAAAGAACCCGTCTCTACGGTACAGAATATTTGAAAATGAGATCCAATGGACTGAGTTTTTTGAGATACACCCGAAAAGGCTAACTTTGGCGCTGATATCAAATCAAATTAAGTATTAATATCATTATAAATAGGAATATTATCTATTAATATACCCATAGATTCATCAGTATAAATGTTAGGCACCAGAATTAACACAAATAACACATTTAACTCGTATCTAAACCACATTTTTAAATATTTAACACACGAATTGATATAAGAAAGTAATGGCTGACTTTGATCTCAAATATACAATATTTTTAGACAAAATAAAACTGAAAACAAGAATTTAGAGGATATATTGCGCCACACATTGATTCACAACACAATTGGCAAATATATTCAAAAATATATCATAGGAATTGGTTGCCAAACATTATTACATCATAAATTACAAATTCATTGATATGAATATATTTCAGAATCAACTATTTATAATATATTAAGTTATTTTTAAACAGAAACTTAAATATATTAATATTTTAAAATTATCAGACCTTTAATTAATAATAAAACTGATTGAGTGTCAGTTCCGAAGGCATTCCTCACAAGACATGTATAGTTTGCGGAATCCTTTCTATCAATCTTCTCAATAGTAAACGTTGAAAACATTTTTGAATTGTCAATCTTATAGCTGACATCAGGACTGGGTTTAAGTGTCTGTCCATTTCGAGACCACTCGAAAAACACGGGTAAAGAACCCGATTCTACGGTACAGAACACCGAGAAGTGGGTTCCTATGGACTGACTCTTTTGGGTTATCCCTGAACCCAACTTTGGCGCTGATATCAAATGGAAATAAGCATTAATTTCCCAAAAAATGAATATACTCCGTATCATACCCTTAGATTCATCAGAATAGACATCATTTACAAGAATTGACACAAATAGCACATATTTAAGCCACATTTTTAAAAATATTTAACTCAAGAATGTGCTAAGAAAATAATGGCTGACTTTGATGTTAAATATAAAATATTTTCAGACAAAATAAAACTGAAAACATAGGATTCAATGGATATATTGCGCCACACATTGATCCACAATACAATTGGTAAATATATAAAAAATACGGTATATACCATGAATTGATTGCTAATATTTTTATATCATTAAGCAAATAATAAGCTAATATTAATGATATCAGAAGTATTATAAAAATTTATCTTAAACGAAAATCACATTATCATAAATTATCAGACCTTTAATTAATAATAAAACTGATTGACTATCAGTTCCGAAGGCATTCCTCACAAGACATGTATAGTTCGCGGCATCTCTTCTGTCAATAGCATCGATAGAAAAAGTGGAAAACTTTTTAGAGTTTTCAATCTTATAGTTGACATCAGGACTGGCTTTAAGCGTCTGTCCATTTCGAGACCACTCAAAAAACACGGGTAAAGAACCCGTTTCTACGGTACAGAACACCGAGAAATGAGTTCCTATGGATTGACTCTTTTGGGAAACGCCTGAAAAGCCTAACTTTGGCGCTGGTATTGAATGGAAATATGTATTATTATGAGTTAAATTTACGTTGATTCTATTATAATACCCGTGGACTCAACGCAATGGATGTATTTCACGATACATAATACAAACAAGACTTTTAACCCATATTTGGACAACATTTTAGACAAATTATACAACAAAATAATGGCTGACTTTGATGTCAAATATACAGTATTTTCGGATAAAATAGACACTGAAAACAATATTTGGATGGATATATTGCGCCACACATTGATACACAATACAATTCACTCGTATATTTAATATAATACTAAGAATTGGTATAAAAATCTATCAAAAACGTGATACTTTGTACAAATAATTGTATTATAAGATAGCTAAGTTCAATGAATTGGTATACAAATTTAGAAATCATAAAATTAATATAAATTATAATTCATATAATATTATACTTTATAACCTTTAATGGATAGTAACACCGATTGACTATCAGTTCCGAAGGCATTCCTCACAACACAGGAATAGTTAGCGGAATCTCTTCTGTTAATCTTCTCAATAGTAAAAGTCGAATGCATTTTAAAGTTTCCAATCTTATAGTTAGCGTCGGGACTAGTTTTAAGTGTCTGTCCATTTCGGGACCACTCGAAAAACACCGGCAAAGAGCCGGTCTCTACATTACAAAAGATTTGGAAATTGCTTCCTATGGATAGACTCTTATGGGACACAATTGAACCTAATTTTGGCGCTGATATGAATGCAAAGAAATGTTAATTATTTGCATATTTTAATGTTAAATTGCATACTACCTGACGATTCGTGAGAATTGATATTATGAGAGAAACTTATAATAATGAGCACAGATATGCAATAATTAAACATTTTTGTGACTAAAAGAAAGGCTATGCTTTCAAGAATAATGGCTGACAATAATATAAAGTGTATGTACAGGGAAAATTATCATATGAAATAAGTATTTTAGTGGATATATTGCGCCACACATTGATTCGCAATACAATTCATTCACATGTTCAAGACCATTATAACTGTCATAAGGAATATGTTCAATGTATGAACTGTAAGGATATGTTTACAGAATTTCAAAATAGTAGTGAATGTAACAAAATATATGCATTTTTCATATTAACAAATATGAAACTTATATTAAAATTAGATAAAATTAATTACAAATATACAGTATATAACCTTTAATAGACAGTAACACCGATTGAGTGTCAGCTCCGAAGGCGTTCCTCACAACACAGGAATAGTTAGCGGAATCTCTTCTGTCAATCGTCTCAATAGTAAACGCAGAAAACATTTTTGAATTTTCAATCTTATAGTTAGCGTCGGGACTGGGTTTGAGTGTCTGTCCATTTCGGGACCACTCAAAAAACACTGGCAAAGAGCCGGTCTCTACATTACAAAAGATTTGGAAATTGCTTCCTAAGGACAGACTCTTATGAGATATCCCTGAAGAACCTAACTTTGGTGCTAAATATAATGCAAATAAATGTTACTTATACATCATATTAAATATGTTATGCTTTTATACCTGTGGATTCATGAGAATTAATAATCTTGGACACAACTAAAATAATCAACACTTGTATGTAACAAATAGATAACATTTTCGTGAATTAATTTAAGGCAGTGTTCACAAGAATAATGGCTGACTATGATATCAAAAGTATTTTATAGACAAAATATTGTGTGGAAAAAGTATTTGAGTGGATATATCGCGCCACACATTGATTCACAATACAATTCATTCATATATTTAAGACCATTATAATTATCATAAGGAATATATTCAACGTGTAAACTGTAAGGATATGTTCAAAATAGTATGTATATAACAATATATATACAGTTTTTATAAACAATAAATACTATACTTAAATTAAAGTTAAATAATATTAATTACAAATATCAACCTTTAATAGAGAGTAATACGGATTGAGTGTCAGATCCAACGGCATTCCTCACAAGACATGAATAGTTCGCGGAATCACTTCTTGTGATCTCATCGATGGAAAGAGTCGAGAATTTCTTAAAGTTTTCAATCTTATAGTTAGCGTCGGGACTAGTTTTGAGTGTCTGTCCATTTCGGGACCACTCGAAAAACACGGGTAAAGATCCCTTCTCTACATTACAAAACACTTGAAAACTACTTCCTATGGATAAGCTCTTGTGGGACACAATTGAGCCTAATTTTGGCGCTGATATGAATGAAAACAATTGTTAATTAGTTATGAATATGCCAAATTTATGCTATAATACCTGATGATTCTTGTGAATTGATATCATGAGAAACACAAATTATAATCAACACAATTGCAATATATTTATACAACATTTTTGGGAACCAAGTAATGGTTGTGTGTTTCAAGAATAATGGCTGACTATGATATTGAAAGTATTTTGAGACAATATAGTGTATGAAAATTAGTATTTTAGTGGATATATTGCGCCACACATTGATTCACAATACAATTCATTCGTGTATTTAAGACTAAAGTAAAGAATATTTCATTTTTGAGTGAACTGTAAGAATATGTCAATAATATATCAATGCAATGTACAACAAGTATTATGGGTTATATTTTTAAATATACTATAAACCCAGTATTTTAGTTAAAATATTAATAATTAATAAATATAACCTTTAATGGATAGTAACACCGACTGCTTATCACTCCCGAAGGCATTCCTCACAAGACATGTATAGTTCGCGGAATCACTTCTAGTGATCGCATCGATAGACAGAATCGAGAATTTCTTGGAGTTTTCAATGTTATAGTTAGCCTCGGGACTGGTTTTGAGTGTCTGTCCATTTCTAGACCATTCAAAAAACACGGGCAAAGACCCGGTATCTGCATTACAAAATACTGTAAAACCATTTCCTATGGATACACTCTTATGGGATAAAATTGAATCCAATTTTGGTGCTAAATAGCAATACAAACAAATGTTAACTATTTATATGTTTAGTAAATACAAACTTTTATACCTATGGATTCACTTGAATTTATATTTTGAGAAATATAAATAATAACCAACACATGTATACAATAATTAGACAACATTTTTACATTAGAAACAGCAAAGGGTTTGTTTGTTAAAATAATGGCTGACTTGATGTCAATGATTTCAGACAAAATATAGTGTAAAAATAATATTTTAGTGGATATATCGCGCCACACATTGATCCGCAATACAATTCATCCATATATTTAAGATTTAAATACAGAATATTTCATTATTGAGTAAAAGTATGTCATTATTTCAAGAATATGTCAATAATATTTCAATGCAATATACAACAAAATATTTCGCTTAAATATCCTATAAATATCGTTCATCAACTAAAATAATAATTATACCGGTAAATAAATACTATATAACCTTTAATGGATAGTAGCACCGACTGTTTGTCAGTCCCGAAGGCATTCCTCACAAGACATGTATAGTTCGCGGAATCACTTCTAGTGATCGCATCGATGGACAGAAACGAGAATTTCTTTGAACTTTCAATCTTATAGTTAACGCCGGGATTGGTTTTAAGTGTCTGTCCATTCCGGGACCACTCAAAAAACACGGGTAAAGACCCGGACTCTACGTTACATACAACTAGAAAATCGCTTCCTATGGATAGACTCTTTTGGGGTGCAATTGAACCCAATTTTGGTGCTGATATGAATGCAAACAAATGTTAATTATTTATAAATATTTATAATTTCATGTTATAATACCTATGGATTCACTTGAATTTATATTTTGAGAAACACATATAATAATCAACACATGTATGCAATAATTAGACATTTTTACATTAGATATGTTTTAAAATAATGGCTGACATTGATGTCAAATATTTCAGATACCGTAATAATATTGTGTGAAATGAGTATTTAGTGGATATATCGCGCCACACATTGATTCACAATACAATTCATTCATATATTTAAGACTAGAGTAAAGAATAGTTTACTTTATAGTGAACTGTAAGGATATGTAAACAATATTTCAATGTGCGTTATGTGCAATACAGTAGTAATAGCAAAAAAAGATTTCATTTATATTTTTCATAAACAATAAATTAGATACTTAATTTACAAATTAGGTATAAATAAATATAACCTTTAATGGACAGTAACACGGATTGAGTGTCACTTCCGAAGGCATTCCTCACAAGACAGGAATAGTTCGCGGAATCGGTTCTAATGATAGCATCGATAGACAGAATCGAGAATTTCTTGGAGTTTTCAATCTTATAGTTAGTTTCGGGGCTGGCTTTGAGTGTCTGTCCATTTCTAGACCACTCAAAAAATACCGGCAAAGACCCGGTCTCTGCATTGCAAAGAAATGTAAAACCGCTTCCTATGGATAGACTTCTATGGGATACAACTGAAGTCAACTTCGGCGCTGATATGAATGCAAACAAATGTTAATCATTGAGATGATAACCCATTAGATAATATAATACCTGAGGAATCATTTGCATTGATTTCATAAAATACACATATAATTATCAACAACAGTATGCAATACTTAAACAGCATTTTAAAAATTGAGTCTAAGATGTGATACGAAAAATAATGGCTGACTTTAGTATCAATAAAACATTATTTTCAGACAAAATAATGTATAAAATGTGATCTCAATGGATATATTGCGCCACACATTGATTCACAACACAATTGGAGAATGTGTTCAAAATCTTTAGTTATGTATTCATATGTAAGGAATATGTGTTATCAAGTTAACTCTAAAACCACTTATTTTGAAGTTATATTTAATTAATATATAAGTAATATACTTATAATAATAGTTTATTTTGTAAAATTTTTAACACTTATAGTGATTAATAATTATTATTAATACCTTTAATTGATAGCAATGTTAGAATCGAGAATTTCTTGGAGTTTTCAATCTTATAGTTAGTTTCGGGGCTGGCTTTGAGTGTCTGTCCATTTCTAGACCACTCAAAAAATACCGGCAAAGACCCGGTCTCTGCATTGCAAAGAAATGTGAAACCGCTTCCTATGGATAGACTTCTATGGGATACAACTGAAGTCAACTTCGGCGCTGATATGAATGCAAACAAATGTTAATCATTGAGATGATAACCCATTTGATAATATAATACCTGAGGAATCATTTGCATTGATTTCATAAAATACACATATAATTATCAACAACAATATGCAATATTTAAACAGCATTTTAAAAATTGAGTCTAAGATGTGATACGAAAAATAATGGCTGACTTTAGTATCAATAAAACATTATTTTCAGACAAAATAATGTATATAATGTGATCTCAATGGATATATTGCGCCACACATTGATTCACAACACAATTGGAGAATGTGTTCAAAATCTTTAGTTATGTATTCATATGTAAGGAATATGTGTTATCAAGTTAACACTAAAACCCCTTATTTTGAAGTTATATTTAATTAATATATAAGTAATATACTTATAATAATAGTTTATTTTGTAAAATTTTTAACACTTATAGTGATTAATAATTATTATTAATACCTTTAATTGATAGCAATGTTGATTGACTATCACTTCCCACACCATTATTCACAACACATGAATAGTTGGCCGCATCTCTCATCTCAATCTTCTTTATAGTTAGCGTCGAAAACATTTCAAAGTTTTCAATCTTATAGTTCACATCAGGACTGGCTTTGAGTGTCTGTCCATTTCTGGACCACTCATAAAACACGGGTAGAGAACCCGACTCTATATTACATAACAATTGGAAGTAAGTTCCTATCGACTGATTCTTATGTGAGAAGAATTTGGATAATTTTGGTGCTGTTATGAGACAAATACTAATTAATAGGATTAATGTTTTACTTTAAATACACAATACCTGATGATTGAGAAGAGATAACACCAATTAACACAAATGAATGATATATTAAAATCAAATAAATGACATTACATGTCCACATTTTAGAAATCAAGGAAATACTAGTTGTAAAAGTAATGGCTGACATTGATGTCAAAGATTTTAGACAAATATATTATGAGAAATAAGTATTTGAGTGGATATATCGCGCCACACATTGATTCGCAATACAATTCATTCATATATTTAGGTTTTATATCAAGAATATGAAAGCCAGTGAACTGTAAGGATTGTACAAAGGCTTGCTTTCGTGCAAAACCTTTAACTCAATAGTTATGATAAAAATAATATATTTTATAGATAATAATTATACTAATTATAGAAAATATTTCGTAAACCTAAGAAAATTAATTGTAAACCTTTAATAGACAGCAAGACTGTATGTCTGTCCCCTCCGAAAGCATTCTTCACAACACAGGTATAGTTCCCGGAATCGCTTATTTCAATGCTTTCAATATTAAGAGTGGAGTGTGTTTTGAAATTATCTATTTTATAATTAACAGCAGGACTTGGTTTGAGTGTCTGTCCATTCATAGACCACTCAAAGAACACTGGAAGTGATCCCTCCTCTATTGAACAACTGATATGGAATATGGATCCAATAGTCTGTGTCTTATGGCTTACAGTATATCCTAATTTGGGGACTATTTATAAGAATAATTGCAATTAATATTACAAACTTTATGATTATAATGGTGTGACTATTACCTGAAGAGGAATCAGTATAATTTATAAAAACATATAATACAAAAATAAAATACAAATAATTGCCACACATTTTGACACTCATGATAACTCAATTCAAGCAAGTAAGTAATGGCTGACTTTAAATCTCAAACCAAAATAGTGTACAAAATATAAATTCTCGGTATATATCGCGCCACAC